TAAGGTATCTCTATATTGCTTTCCACAGACGTTGAACTAGTTTGCAGTCCCACCAGCAGTGTAGGAGTGTTCCTATCTCTCTGCATTCACGCCAACATTTATTGTTTGGGGACTTTTTGATAAAGGCCATTCTTACTGGAGATAAGTGATATCTCATTGCAGTTTTGATTTGCATTTCCCTGGTGATTAGAGATGTTAGCATTTTTTCGTATGTTTTTTGGCCATTATTCTGTCTTCTTTTGAAAAATTTCTGCTCATGTCCTTTGTCCACCTTTTGATAGGGTTGTTTGATTTTTCCTTGCTGATTTTCCTGAGTTCTAAATAAATTCTAGTTATCAGCCCTTTATCGGCTGTGTAGCTTGCGAAAATTTTCTACCATTCTGTGGGTTGTCTGTTTACTCTCTTTCTCATCAGCTCATAGGTCATTCTCTAAGATTGACCATAACCTAGGATTGACCATATCCTAGGACAAAAAGCATGTCTCAAACAATTTTAAACAATAGAAATTATACCATGTATCTTTTCAGATCACAAGAGAATAAATGTAGAAATCAACCCTAACAGGAACTTTCATTTCTATACAAAGTCATGGAAACTAAACAACCTTCTGCTGAATGATCACTTCATAAATGAGGAAATCAAGATGGAAATCAAAAGATTCTTTGAACTGAATGACAAAGAAGACACAAGTTGTCAAAACCTGTGGGACACAGCTAAAGCAGTCCTGAGAGGAAATGCCTCTCCAAAAATATCCAAAAGTCAAAAAGATCACAAATAGACAACCTAATGAATCATCTCAAAGAGCTGGAAAAAGAAGAACAGACCGATCCCAAAGCCAGCACAAGAAGTGAAATCATTAAGATCAAATCAGAACTAAATGAAATTGACAACAGGGAAACTATACGGAAGATTAATAAAATAAAAAGTTGGTTCTTTGAAAAAATAAACAAAATTGACACACCTTTGGATAGACTAACAAAAAGCAGAAAAGAAAAATCTCTAATAAGCTCCATCAGGAACAATAAAGGAGAAATTACAACGGATGCCACGGAGATACAAGATATAATTTACGAATACTACAAAAACCTCTATGCACACAAACTGGAAAATGTGGAGGAAATGGACATTTTGTTAGAAACATACAGCCTCCCTAGGCTCAATCAGGAAGAAATAAAATTCCTGAACAGACTAATATCAAGCACTGAAATTGAAACAGCAATAATAAACCTTCTTAAAAAGAAAAGTCCTGGAACAGATGGTTTCACACCTGAATTTTACTACACCTACAAAGAAGAACTGGTGCCTATCTTGCAGAAATTATTCCACAGCATCGAGAAGGATGGAATCCTCCCCAGACTTTCCATTTTTAATTAGGAAATCAAATCATTCCTTTCATGTTCTCATCTGTTGAGTCAGGACCTTCAGCTCTTGAGCGAAGGAAGAGATTCTCTGCCTCAACAGTTCAGCGGAGGTAGCTCACTGGAATCTAACAGTGCTAGAAGGGCAGAGTGAACCCTTCACTAATAACATTGACTTCCCAGGGACACTCATATTTTTGCATAGAACAGCCTTACTTTTCTAGGTAAATGAATTCTGATGAGAGCCCCACCTACAAGTGGAAATAAATAGATAAATAAAGCTCAGTTCTTTTGACGGTGGTTTGGAGAACTTCTGTTGTGTGTGTGTGTGCTAAGTCTAGCACTTGCATCTTGCAGTTGCTTGAAGGGCCCCAAGCCAGAAGTGAGTCATCCGGAATCAACGTCTTTGAGAAGACTCAGTGTTTAAACAGGCTGTTGAGGGATTCCTTGTCTCTAGTTCTGGGCTGGCCTCACTGAAGAAGTTCCCCCACTTTCCCTGTTAGTTGATGGCAGTAAAAGAGCAGGCAGAGGAAGCTGGTGGTTCACCTACCTTCTTTCCTAAGGCTGTGAAGTCTTGGTGCTAAATGATCAGGCACTTCTTACTACTGCTTGTCTGGTGTCCCAGCCTGCAAGTCAGGTCTGTCCTCAGCAGCTCACCTTCCCACATGCCTTTGGAAAGAGATCATTCTCTTAACAGCTCTCAGAGGGAGGCACATTGTCCCTCATCCAGGATTTCTAAGTTTCAGGCCTCAACGGTTCACCCTTTTCTAGAGAATCATACATTCATCAGCTTGAAAACTAGACTTCTGCTCAGTGCTTCCCATCTGGCAAATGGGCTCACAGATAGTCCACTCCAACCTCCCAATTCATGCTTCCTGCTGTGTGATCTTCGTGATCTCCCACTGCTCCCCATTGATGGCCAGCAACCTAACTTCTAGACTGTTCTATAGTTATGGCCAAGGAAATGAGAAGGGGCATTTTTAACAAGTGAGATTGTAAGTAGAGAGCAGCATCTGTGGACCAATCCGCGCCTCATGATGGGTAGTGGCTTTCATCTGGAACAGTGTCTACTGCTGGCCAGGGGGCTGCTGCGTGCATTTGGGATCTAACCACTCATAATACTAACACTGATGTGTGGTTAGCCTCCCCATTAGGGATCCCAGTAGCAGTACAGATAATACCGAAGGCGTACTTAGTTGTGAGCCCTTCAGCTTAGATTCTTTATAAAGCCCCTATGCCTGAGTGGTCTATCTAAAATCTTTGGGAACTCCAGGGCCAGCATCTGAGGATTCCTTCCAGTTCTGTGTTTCTCTAGTAGAAAATTGGAATTCCTAAGTCGTCTTTCTCTTATAAAATTTCTTTTGACAGCCATTTTTTATTATAAAATTAATGCTCACTCAGAAAATTTTAAAAATGTCAAAATGCCCAAAGACAAAAATAAAAACTATCTGCTCTCTCATCATTCTAAGGTAATCATTATTAATACAATTTTAGACCATTTTTCCAAGCAGATAATTCTATATTTCTTTCTTTAATTTTGTGAAGTTGGAGACACTGTATATAAGGTACCATAAGCTTTTATCATTTAACAGAATATCAAGAACATTTTTCTAAGTCATTTATTCTTCTATAATAAACTTTATATAATTTCCATCTATACATCAGAGTGTAACATAAATTTGAAGCATCAATTTATTACCCCAAAACATTAAGAATATAGACTACTGTAGGATATTTAATTGAAGTAAATGTAAAAGAAAAATACATTCACCCAGGATCCCAAGGCTCAAGTTCAAAAACAAAGGTTTTAATCTGTGCCAAGAAGATGAAGTTCCTCAAACATCAATGTGAGAAACAATTTCAGGATTTCAGTTTTTATATTGCAAGGGGAGAAAAGAGGTATTAATAAGAAGGCCCCAGGTTTGCGTTAAAATCTTAAATACAATGTAAGAGTAAATGAGTTGTTTTTCTTAACTAAAAACTGGAATTATTAACAATATGGTCCCTAGGACTGATGTCTGTTTGCCACCCCTGCTGGTCTTTCAAGATATCTCTTAGGAAAGTTGGGTTTTGGAGTACGAGTAGGCCTTGGGGGAAATTTTAATCCCTTCTATGGTAGCAGACAGAACTGGACTAGCTGTGGTTCCAGCTTGCGTTTGTCACGATGTGGGTACAGGGATCTCACTCTCAAGCTGGGCACAGTAATGGAAGGCTGTTAATCCATCGCGGCATCTGCTCATGCTACGACCCTTTCTTAAGAATGCGACCTGAGTTGAGAGTATCAGGAAACATCCATGGAAGTGGCATCACCATGGGCATACCTACTGTTACTGGAATCTTTTGCCTTTACTGAAGCCCATCCAATTAGAATTTAGATCTGAGGGAACAGAGACTGCTGTGTTAAACTTTGGGGTTTAGTTTAGCTTTTGGATGACAGAACTGCATCACTACTTTTGGCAATATTAGCTGTTTTTTGTTGTAGCCTCAAAATTACAAAGAGAAACCTGAGATACTTGGACATTTTGTACCAAAGGGCCAATCATCCATTGAGCAGTATTAACAAATATCCCAAGAATAAGCATTTAATTTATTTCCTGTCCCTGTGGTTTCCTTGGGCTCACTACCCCTCCACCTCCCTCATTGTTGAAAAGATTTGGAAATGAAGCTTTTGTATCTATTTTCAAGGAATTTGTCCATTTCATCTATGTTGTCTAATTTGTGGTCATAAAGTTGTTTGTGATACATTCTTTTTTTATGTTTTTAATGTCTGTAAGATCTGTACTGCTATTGCCTCTTTGATTCCTGATACTGCTAATTTGTGTCTTCTCTCTTTTCTTGGTAAGTCTGGCAAAAGGTTTATCTATTTTATAGATCTTTTCATTCATTTTCTCTTTCCTTTCTCTGCTTGAAATTTCACTGGTTTCTGCTCTTTATTATTCTCTTCCTTCTGCTTGTTTTGGGTTTACTTTGCTCTTATTCTTTTAGTTTTTTAGGTGGAAACTCACATCATTGATTTGACAGCTTTTTTCTATTCTGATATTCTGTAAATTTCCCTCTAAGCATGGCCTTAGGTAACTATCACACATTTTAATATGTTGTATTTTCATTTTTATTTACTTCAAAATATTTTCCGTTTTGCCTTGTGACTTCTCTTTGATGAAAAGGCCATTTAGAAGTATGTTCAGATATTTGGTTTGGTGTCTTTTTGAGCTCTAAGAATGGAGTAGCAATATATTGGAGACTCTTCGGTGAGAAGATATTTGGGTTTATACATGGCAACATGGTACATTTTTCACGATGAAGTGAAACACTGTCTTGCTGATGTCATTGTATGAGCTTGAAATTATATCTGCAGCTATTTTGTTATGCTTATATATATGTATGTCTTTATTTTATTTTATTTTTAATTTTTATGTTTATTTCAGGCTATTACGAGGATACAAACATTTGGTTGCATTTTATGTCTTTGCCTCACCCAGGCGAGGATTAGAGCCTTGCCCTTCCCCTCTACAGCGCTCGCTGTGTCCGTTAGTTGTGAGTTTACCCTCCCTGAACCCCTTATATATATGCCTATGTTAATAGGATTTGAAGGCAAATATTGGAATCTTTCTTAGTATTTTGTCTTCTCTTTGTTCTTTTTAGTGCACTATCATTGGACAGAACTGGATCCTGAAAAATTCGAGATGCTAAGCACCTACACTGCTTTAAGAATTTGGGACTGAAACATGAAAAGGAAGACAGATATAAGAAATGGAGAACGCAAACAGCCCTGCAAAAGACACCAAAGGACGGCTTTGTCGTTCTCTGTTGTTGCCGTGGTCTGATGGCAGTGGGTGCTGCCGGCACCGGGCGCCTGTGGTGGGCGTGTTCGCTCACGCTCCCCACAGGAAGGCTTTCTTGGCTCCCTCTGTGTCTTGGCTTGCTTTTGGAACAGACTGGCCCAACATCATTTGTCACCAAGTCCACTGTGGTGTATTCTGCGTGTCCATGGTGGGTCTCTAACACACTCATGCTGTCCCTGTTCTTTCTAACCCTGGTTCATAAGCCAGGCCTGTGTTAAGGTATAAAGAGAACAATCATCAATGATAATGTGTTGTGTGAGACCTTTGCATCTTGTAAATTTTCTCTTTTTTCTAAAAATGAATAATAATAAAGCTCTAGATCTCAACAAACCACTTTATTATCAAACAAATTCTGCTGTGTTTCTGCTTAACTGCACTTCTGTAGAAATATAATACATCTGACTTCTCTCTATTTATAGTGACACTTCTTTTCAAATAGCCCTCTTGCAAGAGGCTCTCCCTGACTGACCCACACAAGCCTCTGATTCCACAGTGAGAGCCTATCTATCTAGTTTATAACTAATGACATTTTACTTGGAAGTGAGATGGCGGGAAAGAGGGGGGTCGATGACAAGGGAATTCAGTTTCGGAATGGCCAGACCATTCTGACTGAGACCAAGTGTGGCTGCACATCTGGTCTTCCCACCTTTGGGAGGTGAGAGAAAGGCCTTAGCGTGGTGGGCTGTTCACATCCCTTTTTCTAGTAGCTGCACAGTTGTCCATATGTCCAAGTCAACATACCCAGCATTATGTGAAGAAAGAACCAGATTCTGCTGAAGTAGTTTCTCAGTTAAATTTTAGTCTACTAGTGGTACATACAAGAGGGTCGTTTTTGACATTATATAATGATAAGTTTTATTTATATATATAAAATATGAATGCTTATATGAATAGTTATTCTTTCTTGAACTTTTGTTTGTCTGACTATAGAAGAGACATCCTTATTTGTCATTTTTATAATGCCGAAAGTGTCTTGCACGACCTTTATAATAACTTTTGAGTCCCTCCAGTCTGACCTAGTTGTCTACTTCAAATGAAAACTTATTAGAAAATGTGAAAAACGACAAAGCTCAGATCACATCTGCAGTGTACATTCGAGTGCCTGGAATATAGAGTTGGAAAAGGATCCGCCAGATTGCTTTGTTCTGAACCAGTACAGACGGTTTAGTATAATCCACAATAGTTTAAACCTCCAGATTTGAGTCGTTACATCACAGATGCAGATCCTGGGAAGCTCCCTCGTGGCTATGGGCAGTGAGGTGCAGGAAGCTCTCCTGTTTGAGTTATCTAAGCAGGGTTTTCACAGAGTGAATTCAAATTCATTTTAAAGCTACGTGAATCTACACTTCTGTAAACTCAGCTGCAGGGTGTGGCTTGCTGAACACTTGTCATACATTTCTCCGCCATGACATTTTATCGCTTCCAATTAACGCTCATTGCACAGCTGCAGCCTGTGCTTGTGGTCAGGGGTGATGAGGATCGCACACAGATAGGAGCTCGCGTGCATGACATTTGGACAGTGATGAATGAGAAAGGAGCTGGTTGCCTACAGCCCACTTTCTGAATCCCATTGTAAAAGGACATAGACAAGCTGGAGTATGAGCAGATCATAGGATCAAGTTGCGGAAGGGTCTGAAACCATGAAGGAAGACTAGCTGAAAGAGCTGGGGCTAAAAACAGAATATCTGAAAAATGTAGAAGGGACACTGGATCAGGAACAAAAATGGTAGCAATGGGTGTAAGTTGCATTAACATAGATGCTGGCTCTCTAACAACACGGTTCAAGAGTGGGCATTGATGTTGGGAGCTCTTGGTATTGGAGCACGAGTTCTGACCCTACTGTGTGATAGAAGATCTTTTAATTAATTTGAAAATCTTCCTTCCCTCACAGTATGCTGGAAACATGATAAAGGTCAGAAAATCTTTACTACTTTTGTAGCACTGGTTTAAGGATGCTTTTTCCATCATCCTGAGGATCACCTTCAACTCCTGGGATCAGAAAAGAAGCAGTGAGTAATCTAAAGTCTGGCCTAAGGGGGTCAGATCTAACCACTGGGAAAGGTTATAGAGCAAAAGAGGCTCAAGAAGAAACCCCATAACTTCCCCAGTCACATCAAAAAAGTGGTTGATTTCCACTCCCACTTTACTCTCCTTCTGAAGGTCATTTCCAAGTCTTAACTATGGAACTAATGGCTAAAATTAGATTTTGGGTGCAGTTCTACTTGCAGCATATAAAACTCTCTTTACATCCCTCCTAACATCTGTAACTCCTGCTTTCTGCTTGCTGTTTATTGTCTGTTAAAACAGCATTCGAATGAGGATAGGAGAGGAGAATCGTACCATGTATGGCTTTTCTGAGAAGCGTTGGCAGACTGCAGGCCCAGGACTTTAAACAGAGAGCACTGTGCCGATAACACTGTAGCCGGACCCATTTCATCTTGCCTTCCTGGTTTACTTTATAGGAGACCAGGCTCTTGTGGCTACACAAAACATAGACCAAATAAAGGCATCTGCTGGGGCTGGATGCTCTGTAGCAGCGCCTCGTGGCTGGTAATCGTAGGGAGGGCATATTCTCTACCAAGCTGCATCCTGGCTATAGATGGGTGCCAACTGGCATATAGAGAATTTGACATTTCATTGTTTTGATCATAAGGAACAAATGGTTCCACAAACAGCCCTTTTCCTTTGATACAGTATCTTTGGGTAACTCCAAAGCCAGAGAGGTGATCTTTTCTGCCACTGATTTGTAGATTTTCTGCCCCTTTTTTAAGCCAGCCACTTTCAGAATTCCTAATTTGCAATTCATTGTTGATTTGGGTCTTTTAAAAATAAAATTCAAGAACCTCATCTCAGAAAACATAGAATAATATCAAAAGTAGAGCCTCTCACTGATTGTATTAGAAAAGAACAGGGAAGCTGCTGTTTTCAGGGGAGCCTGCCTTCTGCAGGTGCTGCTGTGTTTTCATTCTCTCTTGGGGTACAGACACCAGTGTATTCCACTTTTTAAGAGGTTCTGGGAAACAAAACTTTAAATTCCCATTATGAAAGTCTCTATTAGTGATGGTATTTTAGGTTGTTAAATCTAAATTGCTACATTAATTTTTGATAATATATTTAATATTTGTAGAGGCCTTAAAATAACTTGTTTGTATCTTCCCTGAGGATGGGTGAGTTAGAGGCTCCATCATTGAGCAGGAAATGCACTGGGGGTGGTCTGTGGAAGGTGCTGCAGCCCACAGCCTCCCTGCAGCAGGGAGAGGGACTTGGGCCCAGGCCTGGGTCCTAGCAGGTGGCCTCAAAGGAGAGCAGAAGTCTGTAGGAAGAGGCAAGTTGGCCAGGTGACAGCAGGGGCAATGGAGGAGGGAAAACACAAGTACTGCTGTCTCCAGGTGTGAAGAGGGATGTTTAGACATCTGCCAGCAGGTTGGTAGGACTGGACTTGGGGAGAGAGGGGCCACGTGGAGGAATAGGGACCAGACTGCAGAGTTCTGGTAAGTCATGATAATGCCTTTAGGCTTCATCACATTCCCCTGCCCTTTTTCTCCAGGCTGATTTGTTCTAGTTCTTCAGCTGTTTCCCACATGACATGACCATAAGCACGACCCTGGAGAACTGGGTGCAGTTCTGCCAGTGTGGTGTGACCAAGGCCCCTTGGTGTGGACCACGGGGTTGCACAGACTTGGGGTGGAATCCTGGCTGGCTGTCGACCTGCTACGTGACCTCAAGACAGTTTGTTTACTCAGCTGTATGAGCATCTATTCCCTCATCTGTCAAACGAAGGCAGCACTTGCCCCTTGGCCTGTGGTTGTGAGGCTTACCTGAGAGGAGTCTCGAACTCAGCACAGCCCAGAGGTGACACCCAGAGTGAACAGTCCCCTTCCCTGCAAGCTGCATCTCATCTTTGCCTAACACCGAGCCTGCAAGTGACTGGAATCCCCAGGTTTATTCAGTGCAACCGCCGTCCTCTGGGCAGCGCAGAACCAAGTGAAGAGCTTACTCGTATTCCTGTTGGGCTCAGCCTGTGGCCTGGACTACTGAAATATCTCAGATGTCACGTTGGCTATGCCTCTCAGCTTGTGTCGTCTTCAGATGTGTTTGCTGCATCTCCAAGTCTTGGTCAAACACGATACACAGGACAGAGCTGGTGCTCCATTAGAAATCCTCTCGCAAATCATTAGATGCATAATTTATATTCTCCTCTAACCCACATTCCTCCTTCCCACGTTGCCCATTCTTGCTGAAATCAAGCTATCCTATTTTCACAGTATTTTGGTGATTAATCCAGTGATCCTGTCAAAAAATATTAGTACAGCACAATGTGTTATTTGTGAACTTATTCTGCTTCCAATGATCACTGTGTTCTTTTCCCCAGCCTCACGAGCCATCTGTTTAATCATCTATTCCGGAGTGATTGTAGGGACTCACATCTGACTGGGCTGTCTGCAGTGTCTGGAACCCATCTTATTGAAACTGGGGTTTTTGACACATTTGGCTTTCTGTCCCCTCTCTTCAGAATATTTAAAAAAGTTATCAGTGGTAACTTTGTTTCATGAGCACATCTTGAAGTTGTTTCAGGGCTTCCGAAACTTGGGTTCATTCAGAGAACCTTGTAAGTCTGTCTCCTCACTTACCTTAGACTTCAAGTCCCCTGTTGGGTTGTTTCTTTTGCCTTTTGTGAGTTTGAAACACTTGCTAACAAGAGTAGATAAAGTGACTAACTGAATCCGAGCACTTAGCCATGGCCAGGAGCCAGTCTGCGCCCTTCACGTGAGTCACCTCTTGTCATCCCACAGCCTGTGTGTTTTTCATTCCCATTTTGCAGCTGAAGGAGATGAGACTTAGAAAGATAAGGTAAGTGTCCGGAGTGGGAAGGGTATGAAATCTCACCCTGTTCCCCAGGTAGCTAGTTAACCCGATGCAGTGTTCCGGGAGCTGGCAGGAGACAGGAGACAGAGTCAGGGGCAGGACTGATCTTCATTACTCACAACAACGGCAGGTGCCAGTGGTGGTGGTGTGCTCCCTAAACCCCAGTTTCCACAGGTGACACCGAGGGCCAGGCGGTGCCTGCACACGCAGTAGTTCGTGCTACACAAGAATCCCAAGCTTAGAGAACCCAAATCTTCTAATGATGCCTGACCTTCGCTGGAGAGAGACACTGCTCTACTTTTAGGCTGTCGGCTCTCTGAGCATCCTTGGGAACAGCCCCAGAGCAAAGGTGGTCAGTGCTGCTGCTCACAGATGTGAAGAAGCACCGGACACCCACAGAGGATTGTCTCCCAGCAGGAACTTAACCAAAACCACTCTGTTAGGAGGTAGTGATGTCAGGATTCAAATTCAG